ATTCATATTCACAATTTCACCACTTTTACTAGGATCCTGTGCACCTAACACTTCAAATGTGGTGGTATTGCTGTAATAATAATAATACGAGGGGTATTTTTAAGTAAGGTCCGTTGGAACATAAGTACACAATGAAAGTTTATTTCAAAAAAGTAAATTTATTTTCAGAAAGTACATACTTCACTCTATTTTTCGACATAGTTGCCAAGTTTGTTCAAACACTTATCATACCTCTGAACCAATCTTAAAATACCCTCTTCATAAAAACTTGCCGCCTGCTCCGATAACCAAGAGTTCACTGTAATCAAAGAAGGGCGACCGGAGCGGTCCTCATCATGGATATTGTTACGGCCATCTTTGAATTGTTGTACCCACTTATGCACTTTGCTTTCACTCATAACAGTATCACCGTACACGTCACAAATCTGTCGATGAATTTCTTCAGCAGGCAGGTTCCTTGCTGACAAAAACTGTCTCACTGAGCGAACCTCACATGCGGAGGGTGAGTTGATAGTCTTAAACATTTTTAAAGCACAGAACAGAACCGAACAGGTGAGCTACAGAGCGGAAACTGAGCACAGTTGTTCCCGAGCCATGCTGGTACATGACGCACACGCTCGTTGCGGTATGCGCGGGAACTACTAGTGTCTACAACAAAACAGACCTTACTTAAAAAATACCCCTCGTAGTTGTTTTTGAATATTACACTAACGTACATAAAGAGCTCTTAAACAACCAATGGGATATTTGTCATGCATGTGTACTTTGTAATTTTATTTTTTTAGATTGAAGGAAATAGAAGAGAGATTGCATGGACTGAAGACCTCCACCATAGCTAAGACGCCTGCCTTAAAATTTAAGGTATGATAGAAATGCCCTTTCTGGTTCATGGCTGAGTTTAGGAGCGAATGAGATTTCAGTTCTTTTCCGAGCTCTACCTTCACCTCAGTTACACAAATCTCATCCAGTTTAGGCCTTCTCAGGGTTGGTCTTCCTCCTTTTCCTACTGCTTCTACCATACCATGCATTATTTTTTCTAGTGAGTGCCATCTTCTTATAGCCAATGTATGCAGCTGTAGTGGTTCAGCCTGCACATGTTCCATTGCCTGAGGTTTCAGTGCCTAATGCCCAAGATCCTGGGGGCCCACAGGGGTCTGGAAATGGGGATTTTGGGCAAGAGAGTGTTGTTAGTCATGATGATGCTGAGGATTCTGAGATGGTCAGGCCTGCAATAGATGTGCCAGTACAGACAGAGAAAGAGGCTGACAGTCTTGTGTTAGGTTTCCCAAGGGAGTCAAGGTCAGAATGTGAAAAGAATGTTTTGTCGAAGGCTTTCATGGCCGGGATCACTGGGTTGTTGTAGGGTTTTTTGGGCTGTATGGCCATTTTCTAGAGGCATTCTTTCCTGACGTTTCGCCTGCATCTATGGCAAGCATCCTCAGAGGTAGTGAGGTCTGTTGGAACTAGGACAAAGGGTTTATATATCTGTGGAATGACCAGGGTGGGACAAAGAACTCTTGTCTGCTGGAGCTAGGTGTGAATGTTTCAACTGACCACCTTGATTAGCATATAATGGCTTGACAGTGCCTAGAGCAAACTTTTGTTAAGAGGTGATTAGATGCCCTTGTTAGTTTCCTCTCTGTTGTTGTGCTGTTGTAATTTTAGAGTTTTTTAATACTGGTAGCCAGATAAGGTTCATTTTCATGGTTTCCTCCTTTCTGTTGAAATTGTCCACATGCTTGTGGATTTCAATGGCTTCTCTGTGTAGTCTGACATAGTGGTTGTGAGAGTGGTCCAGCATTTCTGTGTTCTCAAATAAAATGCTGGAGGAAACCATGAAAAGTTTGCTCTAGGCACTGTCAAGCCATTATATGCTAATCAAGGTGGTCAGTTGAAACATTCACACCTAGCTCCAGCAGACAAGAGTCCTTTGTCTCACCCTGGTCATTCCACATATATAAACCCATTTTCCTAGTTCCAACAGACCTAATTACCTCTGAGGATGCTTGCCATAGATGCAGGCGAAATGTCAGGAGAGAATGCCTCTAGACCATGGCCATACAGCTCGAAAAAACCTACAACAACCCAAAGAATATTTTAACTGGGGATGCCTCTTTCAATAGAAGGAGTGAGATTTGACAACAAAGACATCTGGCTGGGGAGAGGCGCCGCTCTCATAGATTAATTGACAAGAAGGTTCCTCCTGAGTCTTCTCAAGGGAAAAGGCATGAGTTTTTGACTATATATGAGGGTAACTGAGATTGTGTCTTCAGAGGAACCAATGTTTGGTTTAAACCTGCCTTGTGTTCAGGTTTCTTATGCCTTGGATTTGCATTCATGTTGATATTCCTGTATTTTCACTGTGTATTAATATCAAACAAAATGTCTCCTTAGGTTGAAAACTTTTTCTGCATGGGATCTCCCTTAGCAGTGTTTTTGGCCTTGCGCGGCATCCGCCCGGGGAACAGCGGAAGTCAAGATCACATTCTTCCTAGAACTATTTGTAATCGGTTGCTAAATATTTTTCATCCAACGGACCCAGTGGTAAGTGCTAGTGAAGTAACCAACTTTCCCCTGATAGTACTGGCCTTATCTTGGTGCAAAATCGGCAGCAGTGGAGTTGAAGGCCATCCATCCAGGTGTTCTTCTCTCTGTGCAAGCTGCAGGGAGCAAAGGGATTGCTTTGACTGCTGTAGCACAGTGGGTTAAACTGCTATCTGCAGGAAATCTGCTGATGGAAGGTTGGCAGTTTGAAGCCACGAGTGGGAGTAAGCTCCCAACTGTCAGCCCTGGCTTCTGCCAACCTCATAGTTCAAAAGCATGCAATTCAAGTAGATCAATTCAAGTAGATCAGCTGGGTCAAATTCACGCCTCCAGCTTCGTCCAGCCAGGTCTCCGTGATGCACGCCAGATCTGCCCGCTCATCCAGGATTAAATCCTGGATAAAAGTTGTTTTTCCGTTGACAGATCTGGCGTTCAACAGCACCACCTTCAATCCAGAGGGGCCACCAACCTGGTTACACCAATTTACCATATTAGGAGACTGGTCTGGAATTACTAATGTAGTTATACGATCCGAATTAGGCTGAATTAATGGTCTCCTTTTCCCGCATCTCCCCTTCCCCACCACGACCTCTATTGTAATCCACTCCGAGTCCCTCCGGGAAGATAAAGCAGAATATAAATAAAGTGTATTATTATTTATTATTAAAAACTATTTCCCTTCATAAAAAATTGCTGGAAGAAACATTAACAACCTTTGATATGCAGATGATACCACTTTGATGGCCAAAAGCGAGGAGGAGCTGAGGAGCCTTCTAATCAAGGTGAAAGAAGAAAGTGCAAAAGCCGGGTTGCAGCTAAACATAAAAAAACAAGATTACGGCAACAAGAATGATTGATAACTGGGAAATAGAGGGAGAAAACGTGACAGCAGTGACAGACTTTGTATTTCTAGGTGCAAAGATTACTGCAGATGCAGACTGTGGCCAGGAAATCAGAAGACGCTTCCTTCTTTGGAGGACAGTAATGACTAACCTTGATAAAATAGTAAAGAGTAGAGACATCACACTGGCAACCAAGATCCGCATAGTTAAAGCCATGGTATTCCCTGTAGTAACCTACGGATGTGAGAGCTGGACCTTAGGGAAGGCTGAGCGAAGGAAGAGAGATGCTTTTGAGCTGTGGTGTTGGAGGAAAGTTCTGAGAGTGCCTTGGACTGCGAGAAGATCCAACCAGTCCATCCTCCAGGAAATAAAGCCCGACTGCTCACTGGAGGGAAGGAGATTAGAGACAAAGCTGAACTACTTTGGCCACATCATGAGACGAAAGGAAAGCTTAGAGAAGACAATGATGCTGGGTGAAAAGGAAGGAAAAAGGAAGAGGGGCCAAACAAGGGCAAGATGGATGGATGGGATCCTTGAAGGGACTGGGTTGACCTTGAAGGAGCTGGGGGTGGTGACGGTTGACAGGGAGCTCTGGCGTGAGCTGGTCCATGAGGTCATGAAGAGTTGGAAACGACTGAACGAATGAACAACAACATCTCCCTTCATAGAGAAACAAAGGGATTGCTTGGGCATGGGCAAACTTTGGCCCTCGAGGTGTTTTGGACTTCAGCTCCCACAATTCCTAACAACCAGCAGGGAGTTGAAGTCCATGCTTGGGATCACTGCAGAACCACCTCCTTTCATTTTGGCCAGGATTCCAAGAGGGAATGTCACAGTGGATTGTGCCATTGCTTGTATTAGCACTCAGATCTGGCCCTGCTTGGGATTATTGCTAGATAACAGATTGTGGAATATGGTCCATGATCTCATGCCAGAATGTCGTAGTGGCTTGAGCCCCTTCTTGCAGGTGGGGCACCTTGTGTTTGGATTTTCCACCTCATGTGCACTCAGATCTGAAGTCCTGGCCTTGCTTGAGAGTTTTGCTAAATAACAGATTACGGAAGATGGTTAATGACCATATGCCTGAGGAGGTCACCCAGACCGCCTGTGTGGACACAGAGGTGTGTGAGCATGTCACCTCGTGTGGCAGAGCTGCCTCCTGTTGGGAGGAAGAGAGACCTATATGTAGGAGAGTTCACAGCCCATTCCTTCCTGTGATTGGGAGTGAGTGGGATGTGAGGTTCAACATTTGGCCTTCCCATCCTGTTCCAGGTGGGAGGCTGCCTTTGGGATTTCAAAATTGTGGCAGGAGTGCTGTGCATTTCTATTTTTGTTTGTATGCTTGTCCATGATCTTTGTGAATGTGTGCATTTTTGGTTCTATTGCATGGTACCACCCAGTTAACACAGCCAGCTGCAAAGTGACAAAATTATGTGTCTCCTTGGCTCAGGAACAGCAAGAGTGAAAGTAGTCTGCTCTAGAAATGGCGGTGTGTTTCTTCACGCCTTAGTTTTTCTTCCAAGACCTTCTTCTGATTCCTTGCCCTACCCTTTTCCAGCTGTGTGGAAATTGGTTGCAGAATGTGGCAAATACTGAATAGTCCTGGTGTTTTCCAAAGGCTGTTAAATGGTGGAAAATTATGTTTCAAGAACTTCAAAGATAATAAATGCAGTGTCATTAGCTCTTATGATTAGGAAAATTCTGTAGCAAAGTTTCTTTGGATTTTTCCGAATATTAGGTAGTGATTTTTAAAATGCCAAATATAGGTCTGTCTAGAAACATTTCCTTGGTCCATCATCATTTTTAGTACACCAGTGACTTCAACAAGAATTTGGGAAGCAAGGATCATACGACCACTACGATTCCTTGTCTCTGTTGAATATGTCACCCGTACCTCGTGAAGGTGGATCTGGCCAGGGTAGTCCATGCCTTAGTCACCTCTAGACTGGATTACTGTAATGCACTCTATGTGGGGCTGCCCTTGAAAACGGCTCGGAAATTCCAGATGATCCAACGGGCAGCAGCCAGGTTGTTAACCGGGGCTCCTTACAGGGAGCGGTCAACCCTCCTGTTTAAGGAGCTCCACTGGCTGCCATTCATTTTCCAATTCAAGGTGCAGGTTCTCACCTACAAAGCCCTGAACGGTTTGGGACCCGCCTACCTTCATGACTGCATCTCTGTATATGAACCCACATGATCTCTGATCATCTGGAGAGGCACTGCTCTCGCTCCTACCTGCATCGCAAGCGCGATTGGTGGGGTCGAGAGAGAGGGCCTTTTCGGTGGTGGCCCCTCGACTCTGGAACTCACTTCCTAAGGACATCAGGCGTGCCCCAACTCTGGCAGTCTTTAGGAGGAGCTTGAAGATGTGGTTGTTCCAGTGTGCCTTCCCACAATAATGATCCCATAGTACGTTGTCCTCCAAAGCACTTTATATTGTTTTAGGTGATGGGGCGGTATGTTTCCACCAACCGCCCCATCACTTTTTCGTCCATGTCCAGCATTATTTTTAATTTGAACTACATTTGGCCTACCCATAGATTTTAAAGTGTGTTGTCCTATTGATAATGCTTATGTTATTGTTTTATTTTTTGTTGTTTTTAATTGCTTGTATTGTTGTTGTTATTGCTTGTATTGTTGTATTTTGGGCTCAGCCTCATGTAAGCCACACCGAGTCCCCTGGGGAGATGGTAGCGGGGTATAAATAAAGTGTTGTTATTGTTGTTATTATTATTATTATTATTATTATTATTATTATTATTATTATTTTATGTCATGCTGAAAACCTGAACTATTAGTATAGGAAATAAGTTGTGAGTTTTCTGGGCTGTATGTCCATGCTACAGAAGCATTCTCTCCTGACGTTTCGCCTGCATCTATGGCAGGCATCCTCAGAGGTTGTGAGGTCTGTTGGAAACTAGGAAAATGGGGTTATATAATAATAATAATAATAATAATAATAATAATAATAATAATAATAATCTTTATTTTTACCCCGCCACCATCTCCTCAATGGGGACTCGGAGCGGCTTACATGGGGCCAAGCCCGGACAACATAATACAGCAATAAAATCAAAGCATATACAACAGACAACAACATTATCAAGATGACATTTTAAAAAGTAAAATAAAATAAACATTCCAATAAACCCAATCACAGTGGAATGTCCAGGGTGGGAGAAAGAGACCTTGTCAGTTTGAGGTAGGTGTGAATGTTACAATTGGCCAGCTTGATTAGCATTTAATAGCCTAGCAGTTTCAAGGTTTGGCTGGGGGAATCCTTTGTTGGGAGGTGATTAGCTGTTTCCTAACTTCAAAAGGAGAGTGTAAGTATCTGTCTAGCGAGAAAGAATGGGGTAACATGAAATAAATTATTTTTTGCCTTATCACCTAAGACATCTTTCTGGTTTTTTTACTTGCAGGCCTATAGACTAGAACCTTTAATTCTGAAGCATTATAGCAACATTTCTCCTGTCCAGATCCACTGGTACAACACCACGAACCCTCTACCTTACGAACACATGAAGCCAAGTCTCCTCAACCCGGCAAAAGATTCTACCTCAGCCCCGGAGAGTGAAGCTCTCCCGACGTTACCCAGCCCCACGACGTCCCCTGTCATGGCACGGCGGCACTATGGGGAGTCCATTACAAACATAGGCAAAGCAAGTATAATGGGTAACTATATTTGAAACCTTGACAGCTTGTGTTTATCTGTAGCTATCTTATCTCTCTTACTAGTTGAGCTCTCCAGTTATGTATGCATGTCCTCATGCTCTGAAAATATATGTACTGTATTTACTAGAATCTAACGCTCACCTTTTTTGGCTAAATTACCTTGCAGAAAGTAGGGTGAGCATTAGATTTGAGTCATATTGATCAATGGAGCCCCCGGTGGCACAGTGGGTTAAAGCCCTGTGCCGGCAGGACTAAGACCGACAGGTTGCAGGTTCGAATCCAGGGAGAGGCGGATGAGCTCCCTCTATCAGCTCCAGCTCCTCATGCGGGGACATGAGAGAAGCCTCCCACAAGGATGATAAAACATCAAAATCATCCGGGCGTCCCCTGGGCAACGTCCTTGCAGACAGCCAATTCTCTCACACCAGAAGCAACTTGCAGTTTCTCAAGTTGCTCCTGACACGAGAAAAAAAAAAGTGCTGAGCCAAAGCGATAGGAAAAGCTGCTCCAGGAGCGGCTGGAGCTTCAGTTTGAGAAATGTCATCTCTAATTTAATGGCCTGGGCCTAACGCTATGTAATCCTAGGATTGTAGTTTGATGAAGCATCCACACTATGGTGGGAAAGGCTCAAGGCCTTGCAGAACTACAGCATTCATATTTTTTTTGTCTGCTCCAGTTGCTATTCAGTCGAAGACTGGTTCAGATGATGGAAACCATTAATCCTTATCCTCATTGTCCCCTCCCATCCTGCTTTCTTCATCTTCACCCAGATCCTTTACTTGGCAATCATAGCCTTCTAACTCCAGAAGATGTTCATTTATATTCTGAACAGTTGTCCATTTGGCCACTGCTCTAAAAGGACCTCATTACCTCTGTCCTCAATACAGTAAAAACAGTACAGATTAGGTCTGTGCCACCTCTAACAATCCCCCTTTACTTGCCATCTTTACTTGATATGGCCAAACTGTCCTAGAACAACCCTTCCCCAAATCCCACCAACTTCCTAGAAAATTGAGAAACTTCACAAGACATGGTAGGAAGTCCATCATGATCAACTATTGAGATTTTA